ATTGGAAGGTATGTTCCAGTAATGTAATTACTAAGCTTTTCAAAATATTCATTGGGAGGAGGAAACATTTACGTGTTGCTGGTAATAGACCTATTCTTCAAAATGCCAGAGGAAGTTGTACTATCTGATGGACATTTTACTAAAAAGGAGAGTGGAATGGTAATAAAAGTGCATTTTTCTCTCCATCCTGGATTCAAGTTTTCTCAGTTTTCCCACTTAAAATCTCAAGGGAAGCACTTGGATAATCCTTGTTTCTATGAGCCTTCACATTGTTTAACTTTGCATGCTGATGCAAATGTTTTGCCCAAGAGTGTTTCAACTCTTGGGTATCACAACTTTGTATCAGATTAAGGAGTTCAGTGTGAATTTTGGAATTTTAGGGTATATCTCACATGGTTATGGGAAAGGTTCAAGGTCTGTATGCCAACTGAAATAGGCAGTCAGTTTCCAAGTCATTGCAGAGGAAAATATGTTGGTAGGAGTGGCTTTTGGTTTCAGTCAGATCTCTGCTAAATTTTATCTAAATATTTCTCCAGAGTTCTATATTTATCAGAGTAGATAGATGTTAATTGAATATGTTTGGGAAGGAAATTGACCTAAGAGTAAAAACTAATATAAACATCAGTCTTCCAAAATTGCTTTTCATCAATAATTAATGTTGATCAATAACATCATTAACTGCTATTTTTCAGGACCATAAAACATAAAAAAGGAGTTTTTCAATGTGGTGTTCTTTGTAGCATTTTCAGTAACTATGGCATAAAAACAATGTGTAATTTATTCTTCTCTTTTTTATTCTTTTTTTTTTTTTTTAAGGAAAATTAGCCTTGAGCTAACATCTGCCACCAATCCTCCTGTTTTTGCTGAGGAAGACTGGCCCTGAGCTAACATCCATGCCCATCTTCCTCAACTTTATATTTGGGACACCTACCACAGCATGGCTTGCCAAGCAGTGCCATGTCCGCACCTGGCATCCGAACCAGGGACTCCCCGGCCGCCGAAGCAGAACGTGCAAACTTAACTGCTGCGTCACCAGGCCGGCCCATATTCTTATTCTTTTTAAAATATAAATATTACTTGTTGAAATATTCATTGAATACACACATTGAAGATGAAAGATAGTTTAATAACTTGAAAGAAAACTAAGTGAATAAGATTTTTTTAAAAAGATCATAATTTCTCCCTTTTTGAATGAATAGCCTATCATCCATATTGAACAAAAAAAGGCTTATTTCTTTATCAACAAGACAACTTTAATCTTGCAAACAATCACATTTGTTCTGCCATGGTACCTTTCAACACTGAAACAATTTTGGAAATCTTATTTCCAAACTCCTTATTTTTGACCTTGGCCTAACAAAAGTTTCCACAGATAGTAGTATGGAAATTGACTTTATTTATTGCTTAACCAAATGCACACATAGGGCTCATTAAAAATAACAGAAGCTCTCTATTTGATTTTTCTTTTACATTATTTTTAAAAATTTAGTTTTATTCATTAAAAAAAAAGGCGAGGGGGGCTGGTCTGGTGACCGAGTGGTTAAGTTCTCACTCTCTGCTCCGGGGGTCTGGGGTTTGCAGGTTTGGATCCTGAGTGTGGACCTAGTACCACTTGTCAAGCCATGCTGTGGAGGCATCCCACATAAAATAGAGAAAGATTGGCAACAGATGTTAGCTCAGGGCTAATCTTAGAGCTGAATCAAAGACTTGGGGATGTTGGATTTAGAAAAAACAATAGAAACCGAATATGTCAGCATTATGATTAAGTTTCACGGTGGCCTTTACCAGAGAATTCTCCTCCTGTTCTTTTAGTCTACAGAAAAGCAGCTACACATATTCTTGTTCAGAACAGCATTTGCAAGGACATTGATGCCAAATTCTCTTCTTTTCTAGATTAAAATTTCCCCAAATCCCAGCCCATGTGGCAAGTGAATGAGATTGAGAACAATGGAAAATAGACCTGGAAGGACACAATTCTGCATAAGATCCCATCCTGATTCACTCTTATATTATTGAGAAATTCTAAATTTAAAGAGAAAAAGCAAAACTTTACATAATGCAGTTTGATAACTGATTACTGATTTAGATTGTATAGACCGTGTTTAACTTATCTCCTCCTCTACTTTTTCTTACTTCACACATTAAATATCTGGGGTCTAATTAATTTTTTTTATTGAGATATATTTGACATAGAACGTTATATTAGTTCCAGCTGTACAAAACAATGATTCAATATTTGTATATATTGCAAAATGACCACCACAGTAAGTCTAGTTAGCATCCATCATCACACATATTTATAAATTTTTTTTTCTTGTGTTGAGAAGTTTTAAGGTTCACTCTTTTAGGAACTTTCAAATATACGATACAGTATTATTACCTATAGTCATCGTGCTGCAGGTTACATCCCCATAACTTATTTTATAATTGTAAGTTTGTATCATTTGACCACCTTCACCTATTTTGCCCGCCCCCATCCCCCTCCTTGGCAACCACCAGTCTGTTTTCTGTATCTGTGAGTTCGGTTTCTTTTTTTTTCTTATTAGATTCCATGCATAAGTGACATCATATGGTATTTGTCTTTCTCTGACTTATTTCCATTAGAATAATGCTCTCAAGGTCCACCTATATTTTGCAAATGGCAAGATTTCCATTTTTATGGCTTAATAATATTCCATTTTGTGTGTATATTTATATATACACATATACATATATGTATGTATCTAATATATATGTGTGTACATACCACATTTTCTTTATCCATTCATCCATTGATGGACACAGGTTACTTCTGTGTCTTGGCTATTATTAATAATGCTGCAGTGAACATAGGGGTGCATATATCTTTTCAAGTTAGTGCTTTTATTTTCTTTGGATAAATACCCAGAAGTGGAATTGCTGGATCATATGGTAGTTCTATTTTTAATTTTTTGAGAAACCTCCGTACTGTTTTCTATAGTGGCTGCACCAATTTGTATTCCCACTAATAGTGCACAAGTCTTCCTTTTTCTCCTCATTCTCACCTACACTTCATTGTCCATGTTTTAATTAGATTGTTTGTATTTTTCCTATGGAGTTGCGTGAGTTCCTTATATATTTTGGATATTTACCCCTTATCAGCTATATGTTTTCCAAATATTTTCTCCTATTTCATGGGTTGCCTTTTCATTTTCTTGATCATTTCTTTTGCCATGCAGAAGCTTTTTTCTTTGATGTAGTCCCACTTATTTATTTTTGCTTTTGTTACTTGGGCTGTTGGTGTCATACCCAAAAAATCATGTCCAAGACCAATGTCAAGAGTTTTTGCTCAAAAATTCAACACCTATTTATGGTAAAAATTTTGAGTGAACTAGGAACAGAAAAGAACTTTCTGAATATGATAAGGGGCACTACGAAAACCCACAACAACCATCACACTTAGAGGTGAGATAATGAATGCTTACACTCTAACATGGGTAATGCCACTGTGATTCATTATTTTACTGGGATCCTAGCTAGTATCATATGGCAAAAAAAATTCTAAAAATGGATACAAATGAAAATGGAATAAAATTGTCTTAATTGACAAAAAAACGCTAGAACTAACAAGTGATTGTAGAAAGGTTGAAATATACAAGGTCTATGTAAAATGATATTCCTGTATACAAGCAATGAACAATTAGAAATTAAATAAAAACATTTACAATAACATCAGAAAATGTATGAAAGGTTTAAAGACAAATTAAAGCAAATGTATCCCACACCCATACAATGAAAGCTAGAAAATATTGCAGAGAGAAATTTTATAAAGACCTAAATAAGCAGGATGATATACTGCATTCATGTATTGACTGACTCAATATTGTTAGGATTTCGATTCTTCCCAATTGAGGTATAGTTTCAACACAATTCCAATCAAAACCATCAGAATTTTCTTTTCTGAAATTATCAAGTTGATTCTGAAATTTAAATGAAAACATAAAGGAGCTTGAATAGCTAAAACAATTTGAAACAAAGTTGGAGGGCTTATGCATCAACATGTGAATGGTTAAACAAATTGTGGTTTGCTCAGACAAGGTAACACAAGTCAGCAATTAGATGGAGTTAACTACTCAACATACAAAAAAAAATGAGTGTCTCAAAAACGTTAATGTTAAGTTAATGAAGTCTGACATAAATGAGTACTGTATGATTCCATTTGTATGAAACTCTAAAAAATAGATAGCTAATCTATTGTGACAAAAACTAGATTAATGGTTTTCTGTGGTGGAGACTGGCTTGGAAGTGGCATGATATTGTGGCATGGTCCGAATTGATGGAAATGTAGTTTGCATTGATTGTGGTGGTGTTTATGCAGGTGTAAAAATTTGTCCAAACTCATTGAAATTTATACTTAACATAATGAATTTTATTGTATGTAAATTATACTCAATAAAGGTGATTTTAAAAATAAGATGTTTAAATAACAGGTGAAAATGCCTAGTATTAACATGTGTTGAGCACTTGGTGTGTAAACTATTGCTGTTATATAAGCTTTACATATGTTAACTCATTTATAATTCTCAAAATATCTCAAAACATTTATATATCTCAAACAAAATTTAGGTATTATTATTAAGTTTGTTTTACATGTAGTGAAAGTGAAGAGTAGTTGTGACAACACAGTTTATTTTTAGTTGCCAAATTAATTGCCAAATCCTTCAGTGGCTTATAAAAACCACTTCATTGCAAGATGATAGTGGAAACATCAGTTGAATACAAGGCAATTCTTCCACCAATCTCTTAGGTGATTCTGGGCAAATTACTTAGATTTTCCTGTCTGTAATCACTAAGGTTCCATGCATTTATGAAATTCTCCCATTTTATGGCTGTAACTCTTGGAATATTTATAATTATTTAGTAACAAAATGCTATAAGTGAATTCTATTATGGTGTCCAGGGTCAAAAAAATATCATCCCTAAAAGAGATTAAAAATAGATGAAATAACTAGATATTTCTTTCTCTTTGTTTGTTTGTTAAGGTCTATGGAGATGCTTTGTAATAGGAGAAAAATTTAAAAATGAAGAGAAGACCAAAGAATGAAAAAAACTTATTCAACACCATGTATTTTTTTTTAAAGCTACTTTGATTCTAGGTAATATAAACCAATATAAGCAAGCGTATGCAAGAAAGGGAATTGATCTGAATGGTCCTGGATTATGTCACACCATCTAAGGAAATATTAACAATCAGATCTTATGGAAGATGGAGTCCAGACCAGGTCCTTGAATCTCAGCGGAGGGTTTAATATTCCCTTATTCTAGAGCTCAGCCCTTAATCTCAAATACTAGTCTCTAAAGCAGCCAATTCAAATTATTGAGCGATAATTTGATTGGCCCACTTGAATTATATGTCCACTCTATTCTATTATTTCTGCCTAGAGGGCCATGTTCCCTTTATAAAGGAAGAAAAGTCCTTGCCGTTGATAGGAAACCTCTACCCAACTGGGGTGGGCAGTTCTCAGAGAAAAAAGCCTTGTTATACATCTCGATATGATCTATGTTGACATTACATGTGGGGAAACCATCAAAGCTCTTTTCCTTTCCTTCCACCATGTGATAAATGGATTACAAAGAGGGCAACATACTTTACTTCTTGAATCTGCACCCTTTGCATTGTGACCTTGCAGTTCTCATCAAGAGAGTATTTTTGAATCTGGGCTGGCCTTGTGACTTGTTTTGGCCAAAAGACGTTGGAAGTGATACTATGTTAGTTCTGAGGGCTGGCCTCAAGAGGTCTAACACATTTATTCTTTTTCTTAGATCTCTGTTTATGCCATGTGAAAAAGCCCAAGCTATCCTGCTGTATGCTAAAGACACATTACCCTGACAACCCTGTTGTACAGCCTATAGCCAATAACTGCAATGTGATTGAGGCCTTCTTAGAGCACCAGTTCCCAGCCAACACACCAGCTGCCTGCAGATGCATGAATGAACCCAGCCAAGATCAGCTGAGTCTGGCTCAGTTGAGCAGAAGCACCTCACTGGCCATAGACTTATTCGCAATAATAAATGCTCTTTGTTTTAAATCGCTGAGTTTTGGAACAATAGCTAATGGGCATACCCCATTCAACAAATAATTAATTTCCCTCAGTTTTTGTTAATTATTTAATTAGTTTTTATATATAGTGTTAATAGTTTTCCCATTAGGTGTTAGAATGAACCCTTAATTATAAGAATGCAAAATACCTCCATTTCTCCAAGATTATTTATATTCTGTTAGAAGATAAACAATGGAAATGTTTACTAGTATTTTGTAATATTTTATGACTACTTCAAGTGTTTTGCAAACCCTTCTCTTTTAAATTGATTATGAGGTGTAGTTTATTATCACGTAATCATCGTGCTAAGTAACTTGGCATATTTGAATATCTCAGATTGTTTGAACTTTGTCTTTATTAGTGGATTTCTGTGATATGTTTGTTAACTTATGTATAGTGAATTAAATTTCTGTCGTTTATATTTTTAGTTCTTTTCAAATTGCTCATAATGTTAGCTGAAAAGAGTATAATTTAGAATAGAATTATATAGTTTGGTCTGATAGCTAGGTAGGCAGAATAAATAGACGGACAGATAGATAGATAGATAGATAGATAGATAGATAGATGGACAGATAGCTGGGAAAGCACATAGATGCATGCAAACTGCTTAGCACAATGCCTGGCATGTCATTTACCCTCAATAAATATTAATTCGGTATTGTTTTATAAAGTTTGTTATTAATAATTACTATATGCACCATGGGGAAGTATTCATCTTAAAAATAAAACAATTATTGGGCAGTTGCATCATTAAACAGAGTATTTTGAAAATGTCCTATGATGTTCCTTACTATGATTTATTTTGTTTTCCTGAACAACTCACATTGTTCGTAAAAGGGGACTCAGCCTCAGAGATTTTTTGCGGCTGCAATGTAGTATATTTTAGTTAAAATATATTTGCTACAAGATACTGTTCAATTGAGGATTTGCAAAGGTGGAGGCAAAATTATAGTTGTCAAAATGGTGATTTTCAATAAGTACTGTAATTAGCATGCACTGCTTCCAGAAATTGTGCTTTTTAGCAATGGGCCATGACTCACTTGTGTTTGCCTATAACCAGTGCATGTTAAAAATAAATGTCCACTTATCCTCAGAATGAAAAGAAAGAAAATTTGGCCTAAATAGCTATATTAATTAAAAGACCTTATCAGACCATATATCCCATATGAAATGTATATTTTGCGTTCTGTGGATAACACAAGTCTCTATTAATGTTTATGCTATGTGCAATTTCAAACCTATCCTGTGCTAGGTTGTGAAAACAGCTGGAGAGCTCCTTCTTTAACCTACTTCTTGAAACACCAGCCAAGAATCCTCTTGAGCTTTTGGTAAATGTGTGTAATTCTTCTTGAAGCCACATCCCACACCCCTGCCTGCTGTAGAGAAAGCACCACACTTCATCACACACCAGTAGATGTCCAGAGCGAACCCTGTCTGACAATTCTAGCAATTACTCAGGACCCCCACCCCACATCATTTGTGCTCAAGTGCTTTGCAATTGTTCTCAGCAGCTTGGGCTCAGATGCTTATTACTATGCCTGAGCTTTCGATCTGCCTTTAGTTTTCTTTGATTTAGGGAGCCTTCTAGGCTCTCTTCCTGCCTTTTTGGGTCATATCTTTCGTGCTTTTGGATTTGCACCTTCTTTTAATTGTAACACATCAGATTCACTGCACCCAGAGAGTCCTTCCATCTCTAGATCTAGGAAACAAACTGCCCTCTGGGAGACCAGCCTCAAGTCTTCCCGTGACAAGAGATAGGACTGCTTCCAAATGAATACTGGGAATTTAATTTCAGCTTTTCTAAACAACTAACTCTCATCAATTTATGAGTTCCACTATACTTACTTTCCTAATCTTTGAGAAAATGTTGATGCAATGTTTTTTCTTTTTTCTTAAAACATATGTTATTGAACTTTTCATGTCCTTGATTATTCTTTTATGTTGTTAAATACCCAATTTACTGACAATTTTCAAATCCCCAAAAGCAGGAACGCCTGTTTATTTTTTTTATCTTCCTGAATACTAGTTAAAACCTGATTGGGTGAGACATCGTAAGCACAGTTTACATTGATTTGATAACATTTCAGAAATTCTGGCATTTGTGAAACACTTGTATTCAGATCAGACTTTCAATAGATATGCCTCATTTGCAAGAAAAATATTTTGCCTTATCAATTTACTGTATATGAATTATCTAGAGGTGATGACATTTAATACAATTAGACAGGATGATTCTTATCAATTTCTTTCAAGGTAGGAGAAAAATCAGTGTCCTATTGAATCCTTCGGAAGCTGTTTTTTTGTGAGTAATTTTTATTGATATTTTAAATACAATGCCACTGAGTGAATCTGGGTACCAAAAGTATGTACTACTTCATTAAGGTTTAGTTTAATTCAGGAAATCAGATTGAATAATAGTATATAGTATGGTTGATTAGCATAATATTTAAAGTAGCCCACTGGATGAGTAGATTCCCATAGACATTTATCTGAGAATCTCTACTTTTGCTCAGAGAGAAGTTGTTTCTGACTGCTGCAGTCAGAATGGAATCTTGTTCCAAAGACATTTGCTTTGCTTTCTCTATTTTCCATACTGTGATTCTAGATTCTCTGCATTCTGCATCATGGCTTTCCAACTAATAATGGAGTTCTGGTCCTCGGTTGCCTCTTTCCAAGAATCCGTTTCTCCAAAGTGCTACCATGGAGAAGCTGATTTTTGCCCTCTTAGAACCAGGCTCTATTCTTTTGGTATCTAACAGATGGGTGTGTTGGATATAGTTTAGCTTCTTGAAGATGGCTGAGCAAATATGTCCCTGGATCTACTTAAGGACCCTTTAATATTAGATTATGATGTTTGAAGAACTAAAGTGATTTTTCAAAGGGTGTTGTTTGACTCCTGAATCCATTTTGGGCTCCCCAATTTTTCTATTTTCAATTTTATTTCTTTATATTAACTTTATATTGATTTCTTTCCAAATTAACAAGGTAACATAAGTTATCTGTAAAAAACAAAGTTAAGCATTGCTGAAACTTGTAAGGTAAAATAGTGAAATTTTAATTCTCTAGGAGAATTCTCTTTAACAGATACTTTTTCTATGCATAAGTTGTGCGTATTAAGTGGCATGCTAACATCAGGACTCTTATTGGGATCAAAGTATAAAGGAAACTATTTTTTCTCTCATGGTCCTTTAACTTGCTCAGTGTGATTAGTCTTTTCCTGGATGGAAACTTAGGAAATTCCATGAATTTTGGGTTTATTTTAAGATATAAATATCAGTCTAGATTCAGAATACCCAGTTCCATATAATAGTCAATACTTCAATGTTCATTTAGAGATAGATGTCACACTGCCTCCCTTCAGCTAAGGCTGCAGTGGGGTAAGCCTAGAAAGATCTGGAGAATGGGTGGGATCTTGCTAGCTTATTCTCTCTTTCTCGTGAACATCCTCCACCATTCTTTCCCTCTGGCTTCTGTTACTGATCCCTTATGGATTTGATGCTTGAGATAGGGGAGTTAAGGAGAATGGGAAAAATCATATTTGACAAGCACAGTTGTAAACTAGCTCTATGTAGAAAGAAATATTTTCCCATTATAGGGCACTTGGTGAATTCTTCAGAATCTCTCCATCCCATAGCTGGGTGTTGGGGGATAATTCCTCATTGGTCTCATATTTCTGCACATCTTATGAGCAGAGGCACTGACTGCCTTTGTTCTGGACATATTTTTGTTTCTGGATTTCACATTTGTATAGCAAACAATCTTGGAAGATAGAGATAGTGTCTCTCTAAGAACAAAGGACATTATAAAAATTTGGTTCCTTAAACTCAGGGATCTGTTCAAGGCTGGGTATTTCATAGTAAAATGGATTGCCTTTTCAACTCTGTAACATTATGATTCAATAGAATTGTCATACAGGCACTCAGATGACATAATTACTTCATGCATCATGGTCAGGTACCAAGTTTCTACTAGAAAAACCAGAGTTGTTCTCTGATCAATAGGGCACTTCTGTGCTCCTGCAACCTAGGGCAGAGTTTTTACTTTACATATGGTTATTTAATTATGCCAACGCTGTTTAAGACAACTCTTTCTCTCCTAAATATGACTATTCTTTCTCTGCTGAATTTCCTTTGTAACGTTGTCAAAAATCAATTGACTATGTATGTGTGTGGCTATTTCAGAACTCTGTTCTGTTGATCTGTTTATCTTTACACCAATACCGCACTATACTGATTACTTTCACTATTACTATTTAATGAGTTGTGAAATCGGATAGTGTAAGAAATCCAATTTTGTTCTCCTTTTTCAAAACTGTTTGGACTATTTTTGGTCTTGCACTTCCATTTTAATATCAGCTTGTCAATTTTAATAAAGAAATCTGCTGATGTTTTTAATTGGAGTTGTGTTGACTTTACAGATCAGTGTGGTAAGAAGTGACAATATTTAGTGTTTGATCCATGAACACACCATATCCCTCCGCTTATTCAGATCTTCGTTAATTTCACTCAGCAGCATTTTGTACTTTCAGGGAACAGAGCTTGCACATCTTTTGGCAGATTGAGCCATAAGCAGTATATATTTTCAATTCCATTGTAAATAGCATTACTTTTACAATTTCAAATTCTGATTGGTCGTTATTAGAATGAAGAAATACAATTGATTTTTGTATGTTGATCTTACATCTGGCAATATTGCTAAATTCCTTTATTAATTCTACAGCTGTTTTTGATTCCACCGGATTTTGTACTTAGATGATCATACGTATGCTAACACAGTTTTACTTCTTCCTTTCCTGTCTTTCCTATCTTTGTTCATCTGTACGTTATATATATTTTTTCTCCTTTTTAAGATTTTCTGGCTTTTTTCTTTCAATAAATTTGATTATTATATGCCGTGGTATACTTTTGCTCATATTTTTGTGCTATTTTTAGGTTTGTTGTGTTTCTAGGATCCAGTGGCTTATAGTTGTCATCAAATTTGTAATGTTTTTGGCAATTATGTTTTCAATTATTTGTCTTCCCCTCTTTCCTCTTCTTGGAGATTCCAATTACATCTTTGTTGGTCTGCTTGATATTTTTCTACAGTTTTTTAATTATCTGATTATTTTTAAAGTCTTTTTTCCCTTTGTATTTCATTTTGTATAGTTTCTACTGCTTTCTTCAAGTTTGCCAATTATCTTCTGCGTTGTTTTATTTGATGTTAATCCCATCCACTGTATTTTTCACTTTATGCATTGCAGTTTCCATCTCTAGAAGTTCAATTTAGGTATTTTAATTTTTTTCCACATCTTTACTTAATATGTTTAATCTTTCATGCAGCTTCTTAGACATATATAATTCAGTTATAATGTCCTCATCTACTAATTCAATCATTTATGTGATTTTAGGGTCCATTTTGATGGATCGATCTCTCTTTTCATGATTAGTCTTATTTTCCCACTTCTTTGCATGCCTGACAACTTTTTTTTTATTGGATACCAAAAATTGTGAATTTTACCTTGTTGGGAGATGGATATTTTTGTATGCCTATACTTATTCTTGTCCCTTTTTAACTGACCTTGTTAAATGTTATTGCAATTAAGTTACTTGGAAATAGGTTGATTATTTTGGATCTTGCTTTTAATCTGTCATATGGGACCAAAGCACAATTTATTTTG